CAATATACTTATTGCACTAATTTAATTATAATGTTTTTATTTTTAATTTACTAAAATATCCTCACGTTTGTTTAGCTGATTAAATAAAGTTGCCCACTTTTCTCCTTCTTTTTACATAAAATTATTCTCAATTTATCTAATTCGTTTAAGACTTACTGTGCTAGTGTGATGTTTTAACTTGATATATACATAAACTGTCTTGGATTTACAAGATCTATTTAAATATATATCTTGCTAATGAGAGTTTTAATAATATAAGTAATTATATACGTATTACTATATAGTAATTGTTAATCATATAGTAAACATGAAATAATTATCAATAAAGATGTATTTATATAAATTTATTTATCGTTACATTGATATATCTAATATATATTGATAATGTAAATATTATAATAAATAATAAAAAAAAACAAAAGTTAAAAAATAAAATCGAATCTTTAAAAAAAAGAATAAGGCTTGCAATAAAAAAGAAATCAAATTTTTTTAAAAAAAAAAAAAGTCGAAACTTCAAAAAAAAAAAAAAAGCAGAACTTTATAGTTTATAAATTATTTTCTTTATCATTAACATTAGTAAAATAATATTCAAGCCTCTTTCTTGGATGAAGAGATTCATCAACTTCAGAAGATTCACGCATATGTTTTCCAATAACCTTATTTAAATCACTTTCATCAAATTGACTTTCATCATCATACTTACCTGCTATCCAGTCTTTTAAACATAAAGTAGCACGAGCAGTTTCTGGTAATAAACGAGTTCGTGTTTTACTAATAGTAAGGCCAGCTAAGGAAAATTCACGTTCTGATGCTACACTAGTAGCCTGTATGCATAGATAATCACGGGCTACTTGTGACAATGTTGGATATTCAAGCTGATGTGTGTTCCACCATAATAACGGGTCTGTATCACATTATTTAAGTAATGGGATATTTCATCGATACTATAAAAAGAGACATATTGGGATTTTTTATTCAGAACATTTTGAAAATATAAGCGTGAAGAAGGTTGTTGATATGAATTTAATTTTTGGGCATTATTGATAGGCTGATATGTAACAAAAATTGATTGTAATTTTTGTTTTATGCTATCATGTTGTTCAATATTAA